ATGTACGAGTGACATATTCCTTATTTTTATGGAATAGAGGGGGGATATTCATTTGGAAAAAGACTAGTAAATCATTAATCTGACTCGTGGAAGAATCAAGGAACCTAAGGAACAATTATAAGTCAGTGTGGGCAATATTATTATTGGTAACTTAACTTTCAGAAAAAATATCAATTGGATCACTAAACTTCCATTAAAACTTAATTGGACCACTAAACTTTAATCTATTTCATATAGATAACTAAATTTCAATTCAATCTCAAATTCCATCATTTTGTAATTACTTAGTGAAATCATACCGAATTTGATCTTCAGTGTCACACATGGTAAAATGAGAGCTATGTAAATGACTTCAAATTAAAATGTTAAGATTCATATTTTCACTTTTATGACTTGATATAGTGTTAGGCTGACATGCCAAATAATTATCGTGTGAGATTTTTTGTGAATGATTGTCAATTAAGTGTTTTTCATCAATTTAAGAGAAAATAATTTTGAAATGAAGTTAAAGTTCAATTATTGATTTGAATTAAATTGCACTCCTGCTACTCAACGAGGGACAAATTTAAAAATTCCCAATTGAGATTTTATAGAAAGTTTAGTGACTGCAGGTAAAATTTACACGAACGTGAGGAAACACATAGTACAAACCGGACTTGTCCGGCCATTATCGGACTACCCGACAAATACCTCTTTTCTTACGTCTTAACTTAATGCAACTTGTGCGCAGAAAAATACAACGCCGAGAATTAGGATGGCTGGATAATTTTTTTCCTTCAGTAAATTACCAAAAAGAAAAGGAGAAAAGGAAGGAAGGAAAAAAAAAGAAAAAAGGAAAAAAAAAAGGCCTCTTTCCCATCTCTTCTCGGCGATGATCTCTCTGTCATCAAATTTGGGGATTCTTCAAGTCTTTTTCGCAATGGTACGCCCAATTGCTCCTTAATTGTTTTCTAACTTGCTCCTTTTTTATTATGTGTTTTGATTTTGTTGTTGTTGGTTTTGTGGATTTATTTTCCTTTTATCTTTTGAGACATTTGCATTTGTGGGATGTTCGTATTTTGAGCTGCATTATTGTTTGCATAAGACCTTCAAGTTGGTTTTTTTCGAATAACTGACTTGGGGATTCATTCTTCTTCAAAGTTAATTAATTATAATTTTTTTTTCCTTGGATTGTAAATTTTAGTTTGGTTGTTGAATACATTGTGATTTCTGGTGAATGAAATTCTTCTGAGTTCAAAATCGAAACAATTGAAATGTTGAATATCTTATTGGATGACAATGCAGGCCAAGGGTTTGAGTTACGTATTGTATCTCTGTTGATGAAGTCGAAGCTGCAAGTACCTGAAATTTGGGGAAGTTCAAAAATTAGACCAAGATATTTCATGGGAAATGGAATATAATAATTCAAAAGAAAAAGAAGTGGTTGTTGATATCGACAGTGTTAGTGCAAGTGGTGGAGCTGATACGAGAACTGGTCCCAATTTGGGAAGAAATTGTTGAACAAGCTTACTAGTGGAGTATTGGGCTTAAACAGATCACCTAAGGTAGCAGCAATCCTCGAGGGTTGGGTAAGGATTCTCATGAAGCTGTAGAATTGTTGATAGACAAGGGACCAGGTGATCGACAGATTCACGAGCTTTTACCTCTTATAGAGAAGAAACATGAGAAAGAGAGATGGAAAACTGGAAAGTCTAAGAAGGCGGCTGCCAAGCCTCCAAGACCTCCTAAAGGTCCGTCCTTGGATGCTGCTGATATGAAGTTGGTTAGAGAGATTTCTGAGCATGCCACTAAGAAGCGTGAGAGGATTGATCCAATGAAAGCGTTGAAGATGAAAGCAGCCAAAAAATCATCACCATCGTCCACCACTACCATATCCGCTATGATCATCACAATCCTCTTTTTCCTAGTGATGATCTTCCAAGGTATTAACATTGAGGTCTTTCTTCTTGCTATTTTTCTTGGCATTTATTGTGCATATGGTGTTACATTCTAATTATGCTGTTGATGCCTGAAAACATTCTCCACTAGGGTAATTAATCAGCTATGTGGAGTTTCATCAAGTCCTTTCTAGAATAACGTACATTTTGGATTGGTTTTGTCTGGAGCTCTTTGATTTTATTTCATTTTTTTCACATTTATTTATTATCCTGCCAATGAAAAGTTATAGCTTCTGCAAGTTATGGGTTATAGGTCCATTGAGGCCTTAAGGAATTGTGAGTCGTTAACTTATAATTATGATTCCTTTCAAGTAATGACTAGCTTATACATGCCTTTTTATTTTGTACTTGTTTTTACAATTTTGGGCTAAGAAGCATGTATACGAATACGTAATCAAATACGATACAATACAGGTACTACGATGTGATTTTTTATTTATTTTATTTATTTATTTATTTTGGGAACTAGGATACATGAATACTTGTTATAAAATTCAATATAATTTTATTAATATAAAAAAATTTAAACATAGAAGCATAATAACAAAAATAAAATGCTAAAGTATTTTTATAATCTTAATCCTTAATTGTCCCAATGTCATTTTCTTCAACACCATCAACATTAGCTTCTTCATTATTATTAAAAATAATACTCTCTAATTCTAGTTCATCTAATGATAAATTAGCAACCTCAAGCAATTCAACGTCTTCAACAGTATCAAATGAGTTTTCGACATTGTCCCACATTTTTTTATTTTCCTTTTGAATAAAAATCTAATTTTCTTGATAAAAGACATAGATTGCTATGAATAAAATCCAATTCTTCAGCTCGTTGTGGAGTTATTTTCTTCCTTCTCGTAGTGCATAAGTACATACTCCAATTCAACAGAAGATGAAGAAGGTAGCACAAGAAGTTTCAAAGCAATGCTTTGAAGAAAATATGCATGTAAACCATGATGTAGCCACTCGATCTTCGAATCCATATCATCCAATTAGTGATAGAATTAAACTCACCATTAACACTCTTCTTCATGTATCCTAATGTATCATATGCATATCGACAATTGTAAAAAAAAAATATGTATCCGATACTGGCGATACATATCGAAAAATTATAAAAATATATAAAATAAATAAAAAACATGTATCCGGATCATATCAGAGGTCATTGAAAGTTTGGATATGTATCGGATATGAGTGCATAATGAGTTTACAAGTATTCGTACCTAAATTTTGGATTGTAGTTCAATCAAAAATTGTTGAATTATTTGATTTGGATGTGAGGAGAATGTTGGTCGATGTACTAGTTCACACGAATGCCTAAAAAGAGGCGGACAAATTTAGCTTTGTTATAAAGGAGAAAACGAAGAGGATGCATCACATAAAACGAGAGTAGTTTATAGAAAATGGATATTTTGTATGGGTCATTAAACACTAATTTTTGACAAATTTAATGTAGTAGAAGTGAAGATTTTAAGATGGGCTTGTGGTTTTCTTGTAATGAATAAATTTTTTAATACGGATATACTCCAACACCATGTAAGCTATGCATAACTTAGGGGATCGAGGCATGTCTTGTATAGACTAAAAAGCTTCCTTGGTTCACATGAACGATGTGATCACTGTTGAACATGCTAGGGGAGGTTGGTATGCAAAAGTTTCATTGGACTGCAGTTATCTGTGGGTAAAATATTATTTTTGTAGCTTAGCCCCTGTTTGACAACCATTAAAATAATTATTTTTATTTTTATTTTTTATCAAGCTCATTTCTAATTACTCATTTCACAATAAAATATTTAGTACGGAAACCCAAAAATTTTTCTGCTTCTAAACCACACATTCTCCAAAAACTCATTTTCGCAAAAATATCTTTTAAATGGTTGTCAAACAGAGGCTTAGTTTGTTGTGGGGTCGTGGTCGTGTAAAAAAAAAATGACATCTTTAGATATTTGGTGTTTCATCCCTAAGTTTTACGAGGGTGCCAGTCCTTCTATAAATATATAAACTTCTCGAGTTCTCGTGATTCTTTTCCTGCAAATTGCCCCCAAAATACTGTTTTAACAGTGCTATTAAATTCTGAGGAGCATAAACGCTCAAACTTGTTTGCATTTCTTGACATTGATATCATAATCTGTCTGCTAAACATGGTTACTTACTGGATAGTATATGTTGTTAGACATGGCATGATCGATACTTTTATACTGCACATGTTGAAGGATATACTTCACTTGGAATTTTGCATAACTTGTTACACGTAGTTCTGCCAGATCTTCATATATTCTTAATCTCAATTTGTAATTTTATTCCATTAGTATGTGACTTAGCTTTTGTATTTATAAGCAAATGTAAATAATTGTTCCCAGGTTTCTAATGTATTCAAGTAGAGTCCTTGACCTCGTATTAAATTTGTGCTTCTGTGTTCCTGATGGAATATAGATGGTGCTATATCTTGAAGTTTCTTTGAAAACTTGGTCTTTCAGATGATTCAAGCAATGAAATCCCCCTAGCTTAAGGTGTTAATTTACTTGTTTTATAGGACTCGGTTCCAAAAAGAGTTTAATAGAGACATCGCTGGGGGCTCCCGAGCAAGCAATAGAGACAGAAGGCTTGATTTCTGTTGAGTTCTACAAGTGCGTCTGTCTTTCACTCTTCTTAGAACATTTTATTTGCATTTTTTGCTTTTCTAAATAATTTGGATTCATGGATGCAGATCTAGGGAACAAGTCCCTCTCCAGGATGATAGGATAACACATCTATAACGTTGCTGACAATCAGAGACTATTTGTTGCTGATAAATATGTTGAAATTGCAACACTTGGATTCCTTTGTACAATGATTTGTAATTAGAATGTGAACCAACAGGAATTTTTAGTGAAAATGGGATTTTCGAGAGAAATTGTGGATTCAAAACAACAATAGAAACATTTGAGTCTTCGATTTGGATTTAGTCTTAGATTTTGTATTTCAAATCTTGTATATCTGGAGAAGTATGTATTTACCTAAAATACATGCAATAGAATCTTTGTGAACTTCGGATGATCTTTAGATCTTGGACCATATGGTGGTTGATTTGGTAGTAAATACAAATTATGGACTTTCATTATGTATAGGTACAATGAATGTAAATTATGTAATCTATGTTAATGCCGTCGTTATTACCCGAATCTGAATGGCTTTCACCTGTTATTCCGTGAGTTATAATAATCTGATACAAATAATATCAAAAGCAAGAATGAACACCTAATTTGGGGTAATTCAATAATGCTACACTTAGCACCAGTTTGGGCTCTATTAAAATCAAAATACGCTTTTCTTTTTTTCTTTTAAGAATATATTTTTCAATAAAATAATATTACATTGAATTTCAAAACTTTTTTTTAATCACATGTTCTAAAAAAAAAAATTAAAAAAATTAAAAAAAAAATCACATTTTCAAAACAATTTTATCAAATTTTGATTTTAATGGAGCCCAAACGAGGGCTTAATGTCATTGTAGGATTTCACCAAACTAGAGAGATAATTACAATGTATTTTCGGTTAATTGGTACTAGGGTTACACAAAAAAAATCGCAAATCGAATCGAAATCGTTGAGGTGAAACCCTTGGTTCGGGTCCACGTGATTTCTTTTCCCTCAAATCGAACAAAATCGTTTCAAAATGGTTTGGTTTAAATTTTGATTTTCAAAAATCGCACAAAATCGAACCGAACCGTTTTTAAGCTTTTTTAATTAAAAAATAAATTTTATTAACTTAGAAATTTTACAGTTTTCACTTTTTTTTTAAAAAAAATATCAATTTAGCAATACAAATTATAAACAGCTTATTGAAATAATCAAAGAAAGTAAATTATGTTCATTATTATTGGCCTATGATTTAATGGACTCACAACACATGTCCTCACCCGATGTCTAAAATAAACTAAAATTATTCCAGAATAATATGAAATGAAAAAAAAACATATATTTTTAACAATCCAAATCATAATTCAACAAAACTACATTAACAAATCACGTCCAAAATTTCAGAAATCCTAACATAAACTCTCATTTCAACATTTGACGCTTGTCTGCTACTGCTAAAAGAATCGCCAATAGCTTTTATCGGTTAATGTACTAATCTCTACCTGAATCGCCTCTTTTTCTCTTCTCTTTCGATAAGTCTTAGACTTTTATTCAAGTCATTTTTCCATTTTTTTTTCTTTTATTTGTTTTTTTTTTTTTTGGAACTTATTATACACTTGTGAGTTCTGGTTTGGATAGAAAAATGATTGTTTGTATGTCTAGATGATTAATGAAATTATTTGTGATTTGGAAAAAACGAAAGGCAGCGTATTGTTGTGTGAAAATGTTAAATTTCTTAACTAGTACTACTATCTTCTACTTTCATAATGTAGTATGAAATTTGTCAATTTCCAATAAGCTGAAACTCTATCAATCTTTGTACATCTAAACATATCGCGTTCAATCCTTATTTAATATCTCACTAGCAAAACGAAATGAGTTTTAACCAAACTATAATAACAAAATGTAATTCTACATTTACAAACTGCTATATGACAATATGAATGTCAAACAAGAAAAGGTAAATAAAAATGAAGAAAAGTGTATTTATTTTATTAGAGGGTGTTTGATAGTCATTTTTATGTAAAAATGCATTTTAAAATAGTAAATTGATGTGAAATGTGTGGTTGAAAATTAAAGAAAAGTTTTTGATTTACGTGTAATATTATTTTAATAAAAAATGTGTGGTTGAAAAGAAGAGAGAAAAATGTATTTTGAAAAAAATGGCTACCAAACGGGGCCTTAATATCTTTCCGAAACAAACTTTAAAAATAATTTATTCATGGGTTTCATGGTAAATATGAATATAATTTAACATTTAACGTTATTGGTTCTCGTTTAAACTTATATTTAACTTATGTTAAATATATTACTATAATGTTAAAAGGTAAATCACAACCGTAAATTATGGTTTGGTTTGTTTTGGTTCGAAAAATAAAATTGTTTGGCTTGATTTGAAAAAATTTCAAACCGCATAAAATGGTTTGAGTTGAAAATATAGCCCAAACCGTCCAAATCGAATTGCATTCACCCCTAATTGGTACAAAACATTCCTATCGATTGTTTAATCATTCCTCTTGTTTAACTTTTGACATTTGAATCCTCAAATCGATCATTCTTTGTGCAAATCATCAATGCCATCTCATTCCATCAATTCGCTAGAGCAAATGATCGCCTATAGTCTCCTAGTGTAATTAGCCTAAGGTAATTTCTTCAAGACACTAATTGATCATCATTTCTTGAAAATTCAAGGTTTGACATAATACAATAAAATTTAAGATTCACAACTCAACATAAATATGAGTTCTAGGTGAAATAATAAATTTGTATTAGCGAATTAACTCGTCATATCTTGAATTTACTTTAAAGATCTCCATTTTTTCATTTCACTCTAAATTTTCGATCTACAAAAAATAAAAATAAAAATAGAGTGCAATTAGAAGTTCTCAATAAAAAATTATACATGCTTGAAATTAGACAAACGAGCAAACTAAAGATTTACAAACAAACTCAATATTTGCCCAACATACTCGACTTTTGCATCTAAAACTTGAGATTCATCCAAAAAATTTGAGGTTTACCAAACAAATTTGAAGTTTTCATAACAAACTCGTCGAAACAAATTCAAGACATCATCAATACTCGAGATTATTGTGGAATTGCAAATCTCGAATTTTACTTCAACATATCAAACCTCAAATTTCGATGAAAAGTTCATTAACTAGTCTTTTGACTAAATTACCATTGGACAAATCACAATAGTGAATTGCACACAGCTATTTAACAAAGAAAATAGAGGGAATGAGATGACATGGGCAAATTATATAAATAATAGTCAATCTAAAGGTCACGATGTAAAAAGTGAAACAATATGAACGATTTGCACAATGAGGACAAACGATAGAAATATTTTGTGTCAATTACCCATATTTTTGGAGCACTTATTTTAATATCCTTTATATTTATGAAGAAATATTAGGGTAAGGGTGACAAATGGCCTAGTTGGCTAGCCACCAAAGTTGACTCGACTTGTTCGATGAGTCGGGCTCTATCCATCGGTCAACAAGCTGAGCATGGGCCAACTTGTTGACCAAGGGATAAAGCCCTACTCGACCCATAGGCCCTATTAGTGTAGGGCCAAGCCAAGGTGGCAAATGAATCCTACTATATTTATTTATTTATTTTTTAGAGAAAATCAAATTTATAAAAAATAATTAAGGAAGAACTTAATGCATGAAATATGGTTTATATTAATTAGATACTAAAAATAAAATACGACATAAAAAGCTCGCAAGAAGGCCTATGAAGCCGAGGACCCTAGGCTCAACTCGATTCACCAAGCTAAAAATCAAGCTTGGCCCGATCTATGCTCATTTAAATATGGGCCTAAGACGCGAATAGGTCGAGCTCTCATGAGAGTCAAGTTGATCACCAGCCTGAGTCCAATGGTAGTGGTACCACTATATCAGAACTACCTAAAACAAGTACAACATTCCAAAGTATCCCTATATCATTTAAAAAATATCATTTAAAAGATATCGGTTGAAGATAAAAGTGTATTGCATAAATAAATTCCACACACTCAAGCAACAAATATACAGTAGGCCTTTAAACTGAATAATTCTTCCAATTAAATGCTTTAATGCTACATTACCAGAGACTATCTGACCGATCTTGCTGGCGAACCTACCATTTGATAAATAGGGAACATTTAGTGCGTGTTTTATTCTCTTCTTTAATAGTTTTATTTCTTTCAATACTCCCGTGTCAAACATGCCAAGTATTAGTTAAAAAGGCGAGCAATTTGACCTTGTGTTGACTTCAGAAAACTTCAGTTCCTCTAACAATCTGATCAACTCTTTCCTATGATAATAAATCGATACATAATGTTGATTTGTGTCTCGATCATTAAGCCCATGTTTGGTGGCCTTTATTTAAAAAATACCTATGTTTTGAAAAATATTTTTTGGAGAAAGTGGGATTAAAAAGTAAGGAAAAATTTCAGACTTACATATAGAATATTTTATTTTTTGAACGTGTGATTGAAAATAAATATGAAATATAAAATAAAGTAAAAAAAAATAAAGGTAGTCAAACAAGGGTTTAATATGAGATCTTAGCCAATGAAAAGCCAGAAACTGGAAAATGCAGAATTTATGTTTATTTTGAAGTTGTAGAACAGGCAATTGGCTGGTGGGTTTGGATCTAGATGGTTTGTCAGTGGTTCAAATAAAAGATGATTTGATAGAAGTATTTAATATACTGTCAAAATTGGGTTGTGCCAAACCATCCAACCCATTGGGCATTGGGATCGACTAACCAATTATGTCCTTAACTGCCAGATCTTTCGATGAAGCTAAAAACAGCATAGTCTTGTAGGATACTATATAAACACGGTAGAGAATGGGAGAGTGCTTAATACCATATGACAACGTAACTGGTTTCATCAGAATTCATGGTTACAAACAATCTTGATCACGAGTCGTCCAGAAATAATCACATTGATCTATCGCATAAAAGACGAAAATCCTTAGCAGAAACTAAAAAACTTGTAAAATAAAGCATAAAAATCTATGTTAATTCTTTGCATTGCTTATGAAGTGACGATCATTCAACAACATATCAATACCTCACCGAAAAACTAGTCATCGCAAAATTAAGATGAATCCCAAAGCTAAGCTGGATGGAGCGAACAGTAAAAAGTCTCGTGTATCCCTGGTGCTTTATGTAAGAAGAATACCTGAAAAAGCATGAACCATTAGAGGATGGAATTTGCATGAACTACTAAAATGAGCTACTCAGTTTATGCAAACTCAAAGTGGTTTCTCCACCCATAAGAAGAATCTTCAGTGGGGCCCAATGACAAGGCGCCACCTTGGCAATGGCCCACACACCTCGAGTGTATGGTGAGCCACCCGTTGAGGTGGCGCATCCTGGTAGGACAGTGCAATCGCCTTACTGAAGATTCCCTCCCACCCAAGATGTATTCCCTTGACTTGAGAGGTCAAGAACTACAATCACTTTCACATTATTGAGGCGACCG